CCTCATGTGGAGCTTCTCACCCACCAACACCCCCAAGTCCTTCTCCTCAGGGCTGCTCTCCTTCCCTTCTCCCCAAAACCTGGGTTTGTCCCTGGGATTGCCCCGACCCAAGGACAGGACCTTGCACTTGGCCTGGTTGAACTTCATGAGGTTGTCACTGTCCCACCTCTCCAGGTCCCTCTGGGTGGCACATCCCTCCAGCGTGTCCCTGTGCCACACGGCTTGGTGGCACCGCCAAGCTCGCTGGGGGTGCCCTCCATCCCAATGTCCATGTCGTTGATGAAGAGCTGGTCCCAGTACCGACCCCTGAGGGGTCACCAGTGTCCACCTGGACATGGAGCCGTTGACCACCACCAATTCCTCACCCACTCACCAAACCCATAGCTCTCCAGTTTGGCAGGGTGGGGTGTTTTGGGGTGCTTTAGGGTTTCCTCATCCCCCCAACTCCATGGTGGTTCTTCCCACCCTCAGGAATGCCGGGAAGGAGACAGAGGAGCGGGGGGGCGGTGGGGGCCTGGAGCAGGTCTCCTTCCCACCCGAGGACGAGGACAGCGATGAGGACGAGGACGTCGAGAGCCTCCTGCCCCACGCCCAGCCCCAGCACAAGAAGCAGCGGGTCAAGGCAAGCGGCTCCCCCAGAATTTAGGGGAGAAACCCACCTGGGGGGGGGATCCCCTAAAACTGAGGCTCCCCCAAGCCTGGAGATCCCCTAAATTTCCACATCTCCCAAACCTCGGGGTGGTCCCTCAAACCTGGAGGGGTCCTCCGAACCTGAGAGTGTCCCCCAAATCTGGGATGACCCCAAGCCTGGGTGTTCCCCAAACCTGGGGATCCCCCAAACCTGTCTTTTATTTTTTTCCAGAGCTGGGGGGGTCCCCTCTAAATCTGGCTCATCCCTCAAACTTGTGGGGGCTCCCCAAACCTGGGGGTCCCCTAGACCCCCAACATCCCCTGAACCTCAGGGGATCCCTTAAATCTCACATCCCTCAAACCTGGGGGGGTTCCCCAAGCCTGGGGGTGGTCCCAACCCTGGACAGCCCTCAAACCAGAAGGGGCGTCCCCCAAACCCCGGGGTGTCCCTCCAAACTCAGAGGCTGCAGGAAGCAGCCTTTGTGCCCCGTTTCCACCCTCTTCTCTCCTGGTGGTTTCAGGGGGGTCCCCCCAATTGGGCTGTGACCCCCCCCCCTTGTCTTCCCCACTCAGCTCACCCCAAAACCCCTCCTGCCTGAGGTGGAGGATGATGATGACGATGACGACTCGGAGGATGCCCTCAACGAGTTTGATTTCCTGGGCTCTGGGGAAAACGGGGCCGGCCGCCGGGCCGGGGAAGGCGTGGAGCTGGGTGAGCAGGGCCGGGGGGAGGAATTTGGGGGGGACCCCTCTGCCTTGGCGCCAGACCTTCTGACCCCCACGTCCCCACAGAAAGCCACCGGGGGCGGCTGCGGGGGATGCTGGCCGACCTGCAGGATGTGGACGGGCTCCCACCGAAACCCACCGCTGCGGGGCCACCACGGCCTCACGAAGGTACGGTCCTGGGGGTCCCTGTGTCCCCTGTTGGGGGGTCCCCTGTCCCACAGGGCTACACCCAGCCGCTCTCCTCCCCAGGCTCTCTGGGCATCTCCTCCGACGTCTTCATCATGGACAGCATCGGCGGCAGCGCCGTCAGCCTGGGGGACCTGGCTGACCTGACCGTCACCAACGACAACGAGCTCAGCTGTGACGTGAGTCACCCCCTCCGTGTCCCCACGGCGTCCCCCGACCTGCCCCAAGTGTCCCCTGGGCTCCCCAGTCCCCCCCGACCTACCCAGTGTGTTGCCTGGTCCCCATGGTGTCCCCCGACCTGCCCCCGAGGGTCCCCTGGGCTCCGCTGTCCCCATCGTGTCCCTAACCCCCCCCAGAACCTCCAGCTTGGACCACCCTGGTCCCCATGACGTCCCTTTGGTCCCCCTGGTCATCTCCTTGCCCTCCGGCCACCGAAAGCCCCCTGCCGTGAGCTCCAGCTGGGGCCATGGGGTGCCACCACCCCTTAGCTGCTGTCCCCCCCCCGTGTCCCCACAGCTCCCGGAGGGCCGGGATGCCCTGAAGAAGACGTGGAGCCCCAAGTTCACCCTGCGCAGCCACTACGACGCCGTGCGGGGCCTGGCCTTCCTCCCCGCCGAGGCCGCCCTCGTCACCGCCTCCGAGGATGGCACCCTCAAGCTCTGGAACCTCCAGAAGCCTGTGGCCCCCAAAAAGTGGGTTCTTGGGGTGGTGACGGGGTGGGGGGGGTAGCGGGGAGAGGGACATCCTCCTGGACCTTCTTGTCCCCTTTCCAGGAACGCGGCGCTGGACGTGGAGCCGGTGTACGCTTTCCGTGGGCACAGGTGAGGGATGGGGACACAGGGGCCAGTCTGGGGGGGACACAAGTGGCTCTGGGGACACCCTCTCACCTTGTCCCCGTCCCCGCAGGGGTCCTGTGCTCACCGTGGCCATGGGGCGCGACAGCTCCCTGTGCTGCTCCGGCGGGGTGGACGCCCGCATCCGCTGCTGGCGCCTGCCCGACCTCGACATGGACCCCTACGACGGCTACGGTGGGTGTCCCCGTCCCCTGCCTCCCATGGGGGGTGGCACAGGTGACATCCAGCCCCACGGCGTCCCCCCCAGCTTTGGCTGTGGCATCGCTGCTGTGTGTTTGCCCTCCTGGCTGCTGTGCCACCCCACTTCACACCCCCGCCATCCACGCTGTCCCCCGACCTGTCCCCGAGGGTCCCCTGGGCTCTGCCATCCCCATGGTGTCCCCTGAGTGTCCCCTGGGCTCCCCAGTCCCCATGGCATCCCCCGATCTGCCCCTGAGGGTCCCCTGGGCTCTGACATCCCTTTGGTGTCCCCCAACATGCCCCAAGGGTCCCCTGGGCTCTGCCACCCCACAGTGTCCCCTAACCTGCCCCCAAGGGTCCCCTGGGCTCTGCCATCCCCTCAAGAGTCCCCCAACCTGCCCCAAGGGTACCCTGGGTTCTGCCATCCCCATGGTGTCCCCTGAGTGTCCTCTGGGCTCTGCCACCCCACGGTGTCCCCCAACCTGCCCCTGAGGGTCCCCTGGGCTCTGCCATCCCCACGGTGTCCCCCAACCTGCCCCGAGGGTCCCCTGGGCTCTGCCATCCCCTCAAGAGTCCCCCAACCTGCCCCAAGGGTACCCTGGGTTCTGCCATCCCCATGGTGTCCCCTGAGTGTCCCCTGGGCTCCCCAGTCCCCATGGCGTCCCCCGACCTGCCCCCAAGGGTCCCCTGGGCTCTGCCATCCCCTCAGAGTCCCCCAACCTGTCCCCGAGGGTCCCCTGGGCTCTGCCATCCCCATGGTGTCCCCTGAGTGTCCCCTGGGCTCCCCAGTCCCCATGGCGTCCCCCGACCTGCCCCCAAGGGTCCCCTGGGCTCTGCCACCCCACAGTGTCCCCCAACCTGCCCCAAGGGTACCCTGGGTTCTGCCATCCCCATGGTGTCCCCTGAGTGTCCCCTGGGCTCTGCTGTCCCCACGGTGTCCCCCAATGTGCCCGGAGGGTCCCCTGGGCTCTGCCATCCCCATGGTGTCCCCTGAATGTCCCCTGGCCTCTGCCACCCCTCAGAGTCCCCTGACCTGCCCTGAGTGTCCCCTGGGCTCTGCCATCCCCATGTCATCCCCTGAGTGTCCCCTGGGCTCTGCTGTCCCCACGGTGTCCCCCAACCGGGCCCCCCGGGTCCCCTGGGCTCTGCCATCCCCATGTCATCCCCTGAGTGTCCCCTGGGCTCTGCTACCCCCCAGCGTCCCCCGACCTGCCCAGAGTGTCCCCTGGGCTCTGCTGTCCCCACGGTGTCCCCCAACCGGGCCCCCCGGGTCCCCTGGGCTCTGCCATCCCCATGTCATCCCCTGAGTGTCCCCTGGGCTCTGCTACCCCACAGCGTCCCCCGACCTGCCCAGAGTGTCCCCTGGGCTCTGCCATCCCCATGGTGTCCCCTGAGTGTCCCCTGGGCTCTGCTACCCCACAGCGTCCCCCGACCTGCCCAGAGTGTCCCCTGGGCTCTGCCATCCCCATGGTGTCCCCTGAGTGTCCCCTGGGCTCTGCTACCCCACAGCGTCCCCCGACCTGCCCAGAGTGTCCCCTGGGCTCTGCCATCCCCATGGTGTCCCCTGGGCTCTGCCACCCCACGGTGTCCCCCGACCTGCCCCCGAGTGTCCCCCGGGCACCCCCCGAGGTGACCTTTTCTGGTGTCCCCAGACCCCGGGGTGCTCAGCGGTGTCCTGGAGGGTCACGGTGACGCTGTCTGGGGTCTGGCCTTCAACCCGGCCGGCGACCGCTTGGCGTCCTGCTCCGCCGACGGCACCCTCCGCATCTGGGACCCGCGGCGCCAGGAGGGCGCCTGCCTCGGCACCTACGACGCCCAGAGCGGTGAGAGGGGCGTCCCCTCGGCCTGGGGGGGGTCACTCCCCCGCCACCCCCCTCGTTTACCCTCCCTCTGTCCCCTCTCCTCGCAGAGCATGGCGTCCCCACCTCCGTCACCTTCTCGGCCACCCAGCCCGGGCACACGGTGGCCGCTTTCCGGACGGGGGCCACCGTCCTCTACGACGTGGAGGCTGCTCGACCCGTCCTGGTGCTCGAGGCCCGGCCGGGAGGCGGTGAGTGAACCCCGAGGGGTGTCCCCCCCCTTGTGTCCCCCCCCCATGTGTGTGTGTCCCCATGTCACCCTCCCAGCGAGGACCCTCATCCTGATGTCCCCATCCCCCCTTGTCCCCATTCCTGAGTCCTCACGACCCCGTGACCTCTGGTGTCCCCATGCTCCTGTCACCCCCTCCATGTCCCCATGACCCCCACATCCCTGTGACCCCCACCGTTCCCAGCCCCACATCCCTGTGGCCCCGCTGTCCCCATCCTTGTGTCACCCATGACCCTGTGACACCCCCCAGTCCCTTATCCCCATCCCTGAGTCCTCATGACCCAGTGACTTCTGGTGTCCCCATGGCCCTGTGACCCCCAAGTCCTTGTCCCCATGGCCCTGTGACACCCCCCCAGTGCCCAGCCCCACGTCCCTGTGACCCTGCTGTCCCCATCCCTGGTGTCCCCCTCTCCCTGTTGTCCCCATCCCTGGTGACTCCTGGTGCCCCATGTCCCCACGGCCCTGTGACCCCCATTGTCCTTGGCCCCAGTCCCTTGTCCCCATCCCTGAGTCCTCATGACCCTGTGACCTCTGGTGTCCCCATGGCCCTGTGTCCCCCTCTCCACGTTGTCCTGGTGCCCCATGTCCCTATGGCCCTGTGACCCCAAGTCCTTGTCCCCACCCCTGAGTCCTCATGACCCCGTGACCTCTGGTGTCCCCATGGCCCCGTGATCCCCGTGTCCTTGTCCCCGTGGTCCCCACGCAGGTGGCAGCCAGGTGAACCAGGTGGTGAGCCACCCCTCGCAGCCCCTCACCATCACCGCCAGCGACGACCGCGGCATCCGCTTCCTCGACAACCGGACAGGTTTGGGATGGGATGGGGGGAAACGGCCTTCGTTAGTGCTAACGAGGCCCCGGGGTTGGGGGGAGGGGAGGGGAAGCTGGTGACACCCCCGTCACCACTGCCCCCACCCTGCAGGTAAGGTCGTGCACTCCATGGTGGCCCACTTGGACGCCGTCACCTGCCTGGCCGTGGACCCCAACGGCGTCTTCCTCATGTCCGGCAGTAGGTGTCCCCCCCTAAAAACCCCCATCCCTCCTCACCTTCTACTGCCTCAGCCGTGACACGAGAGCGTCGGGTCTCAGCCCACTCCTCCCACCCCGTGTGTCCCCCCCCACTAAACCCCCCATCCCTCCTCACCTTCCTACCACCTCATCCGTGACACAAGAGCGTCGGGTCTCAGCCCTCTCCTCCCACCCCGTCACCCAACCCCGGGGGGTGTCCCCGCTGTCCCCCCAGGTCACGACTGCTCGCTGCGCCTCTGGCACCTGGCCCACAAGACATGTGTGCAGGAGCTGACGGCGCACCGCAAGAAGCACGAGGAGGCCGTCCACGCCGTCGCCTTCCACCCCAGCCGGGCCCTCAGCGCCAGCGCCGGCGCCGACGCCCTCGCCAAGGTCTTCGTGTGACACCGGGGAGGGGGGGGACACACGCGTGTCGGTGGCAGGGGTGGCCTTTGTCACCTTCCCTGCCCCGGGGAGCTGAGACTGGTCTCTCCCTTGGAGCTCGTGACACCCCAGGGCAGCCTCGGCCCCTCTCCTGGCGCCCCCCCACCCCCCAAGGGAGCCTGGCTGGGGGGTGCAGGGGGGCACCTATGGGCTCTATATACCCCCCGGGGCAGTTATGGGCTCTATATACCCCCCTGGGGGCAATTATGGGCCCTATATAACCCCCCCAGGACAATTATGGGCTCTACATACTTCCCTGGGGCAGTTATGGGCTCTGTGTACCCTTCTGGGGGCAATTATGGGCTCCATATACCCCCCTGGGGCAATTATGGGTTCTATATGACCCCCCCGGGGCAGTTATGGTCTCTGTGTACCCTTCTGGGGGCAATTATGGGCTCCATATACCCCCCCGGGGCAGTTATGGGCTCTGTATACTCCCTGGGGCAGTTATGGGCTCTGTGTACCCCTCTGGGGGCAGTTATGAGCTCTCTATACCCCCCCAGGGCAATTATGGCCTCTATAAACTCCTTGTGGGGCAATTGCAGGCTCTGTGTACCCCCCCCGGGGCAGTTACGGGCTCTGTGTACCCCTGGGGCGGGGGTACTTACAGGCTTTATATACCCCCCTGAGGGGTACTTATTGGCCCTATATACCTCCCCTGGGGGCAGTTATGGGCTCTATTCCCCCCCCCAGGGGCACTTACGGGCTCTATATGCCCCCGAGTGGCAATTATGAGCCCTATATACCTCCCTGGGGGCAGTTAAAGCCTCTACATACCCCCCTCCCCCCCCCCGGGGCAGCTGTGGGCCCCGTCTCGTCCCTGGGGGGCAGGGGGGGCAGCTCTCCATACCCCCAGGGGTAGTTAAGGGCTCTGTGCCCCCCCCCGGGGCAGTTACCGTCTCAATCTCCCCTCTGAGGGGACACTACCCCCCCCCCCCGGGGGCACCCGTGGGATCTGCCCCACGGGGGGGAGCACTACATACCCCCCTGGGGGCAATTATGGGCCTTATCACCCCCCCTACCCCCCCCGCGAGGGGTAATTGTGGACCTTAGAGACCCCCAGGGGCAGGTCGGGGCTCCATAAAGCCCCCCCCCCCGGGGGGACCCGAGGACCACACGCCCGAA